GTGATAACAGATGCTGGAGAGAATATGGAGAAAGGGGAACCCTCATACACTGTTGGTGGGAATGTAAATTAGTACAGCCAAAAAGGAGAACAGTATGGAAGATTCTTAAAAAACTGGAAACAGAACTACCATATGATCCAGCAATTCCACTGCTGGGTATATTCTCAAAAGAAAGGGAATCTGTCAAAGAAATACCTGCACTTGTATATTTACTGCAGCATTATTCATAATCACCAAGATTTGGAATCAACCTAAGTGCCCAAGGATGAATGGATTCTAAGAATACAGCATATATACCCACTGGAATATTATTTAGCCACAAAAATAAATGAAATCCTGTCATTTGTGGTAACATGGATGGAACTACAGGCCATTTAAGTTAAGTTAAATAAACCAAGCAGAGAAAGACAAATATCACAGGTTCCCATTCATGTGTGGGAGCTGAAAAATTGGATCCCGTGAAAGTAGTATAGCTTAGTGGTTACCAGAGGCCGGGAAGGAAAGAGGGAAGGAGACATGAAAGAAAATGAAAAGAATGTAAATGTATTTATTACCATTGAATGCACACTTAAAATGGTAAAGATGGTAAATTATATATGTAAAAAAAAAATTTAATATTCAAAAATAACAAAAAAAGGCATAAGAAAAAGAGCAATTCCCACAGGAGAAAAAAAGTTAGAAAAGAGTCCTATATAAGAAGAGATCCAGGCCCAGAATAATCTTTTCTAGGGTTTATCAGTATGAATCAAAGCATGTATAAAAAAATTTCTACGGTAGTCAAGGTTTTACTGTAAAGACAGTAGAGACTGAAATGCAACCACCAAGAATATTAAGGGAAAAAAAAGGATTAGATTTGATTTCAATAAATTAGAACAATTTACTCTAGGGAGGTGAATATGGATGAAATCACTCCCTTTGCCCCTTTAAAAATCACAAAATATAATTAACTTGAGTTCAAAAGCACACATCAAAAAGCATGAGAGTAAGAGTGTTTATGAGAGTTGTGTGAAGGGATTTGATGTGAAAGGAATCCATATAAAGTGCTCCTTCCCCCAGCCACCAGGCCTGGAGGACATCAGTCGGTCCCATAGTGATGGTGCCATCAAATGCCAGGGACAAGAGGGTCACACTCAAGAAGTCACCGTGCTTCTCAGAGGCAGGTCAGAATGTTCTCCCACCTTCCGTGTGGATAGCAGTGTGGAACTTACAAGTTGCATTATCTTACAGGCGCTGTTTTGTTCCCACTCATCTTAAAGCTATGAAGGCAGTTGAATGAGGAAGCCACGGTTTCAAAGAATTGGGTGACTTGCCCAAGAGAGCAGAGAAAGTCACTAGTGAAATTGACCTTAGTTTCCTTCTCAAGATCTCCTGGCCTGGCAATAGCACATACTGATGCTGGACTTGGCACTTGAGCAGGAGGGATGAGCTGTGTCATATTGTTGGCACTAGTAAAAGGCCAGCCCACAGAAGTTGGGATCCTGAGAAGAATTGGAGAGTGAAGCAAGGAAGAAGAAAGGAAAAAGACAATTCTAAGAAACTAATAATTTCTTTTACAAAGTGGAGTGTTGAGAGTTTGTCAAAAGTTGTCTTATTCTGTTTGTATTGATATAAAGGGATACCTAAGGCTGGGAAACTTGGCTCATGTTTCTATAGGCTGTACAGGAAGTGTGGTGCTAGCACCTGCTTCTGATGAGGGCCTCAGGAAGCTTACAGTCATGGCAGAAAGTGAAGGGCGAGCAGGTGTGTCACATAGTGAGAAAGGAAGGAAGGAAGGGGAGGAGGTGGTAAGCTGTTTTTAACAGGTCTCATGGTAACTAACAGAGTGAGAACTAGAAGAGTGCCCACAGGAGGGCACCAAACCATTCACGAGGGATCAGCTCTCCTGACCCAAACGCCTCCCAGAGGCCCACCTCCAACACTGGGGGTCACATCTCAACATGAGATTTGAAGGAGAGCAATATCTAAACTATATCAAAAGTAAATGGAAATAGAAAGAAAAGGATGAATGTATTATTTAAAGTTACAATATTATCAAGAGAGGTGCTAGAAATAATCTAATGCGCAAACATTTCAAAGAACAGGGGAATGAGAGGTTTCGTTGTCAGGGAAGCAACTCTTCTATATGCTTGATGGAACGTGGATAAAAAGGTCAATAGAGATAAGCATTTTATTTAGAACTGTGGGGTAGTCCTCAGGGCAATTACTAACAGAAAGACTCAAAAATCACTGTATCGTGGTTCTGGGCTGAGGTGGCATCTGGTGAGAAATTGCTGCTTTGTATTATAAATTTTTTATAATATTGTATTTGATTTGTTACTATGAATGTCTATTACTTTAAAAAATGACACAGGATCAATTATCTATATTTCTAGCATAGAGATACTTGCTGTCTTTTCATAAAGAGCATTTTAAAGAGAAATCCCTACATAAATAATAAATAACACGCTTGTCATTCCTGACTTTCAGGGACATGATTGCTTTAAAACATAGGTTTTGTTCATTTAGTTGTAGCAAGGCCAACAGATAAGGAGGGGACTGCTTTTGAACAGATAGTCTGCTATGCACAGATCAGGAAGGAGTGGCATGCCTTGCCATGGAGGCCACACTGTGCCATGGGGGACCACGTGGCGAAGCTCCAGAGTTGGTTAGAAGAGTTGGGGGAACTGTGGCAAGAGCCTTTAATGTGATTTTTGTGAGAAGAAACCAGCAAGCGAGGATAAGTAGACTTAGAATGGACTACTTGGAATAATTTTAGTGGGCTCTGAACACAGGTGTGTCCTGAGTTGCCTAGTGCCTGGCCCTGGGATGATTAGGGTAGGTGACAAAGCCCCGGTGAGTGACAGCCCACAGCGAAGGTGGTTGGGAGGGCTCTGGAGTGGTTGATTTGCATATAAAAGCTGTGCTTGCTGACGTCATTTACCCTCTCTAGGGACTGGCATCCTGGGAAGGGAAGTCCCTCCGGGGCCAGCAAGGCCCCGAGATTTCTGCACCTTTTGAAATAATTTAGTCAAAAAGCACCCAGTGTCTATTTCTTGCAATGGCAAAATAATATTAAAATGAATGCACCGATTGCTAGATATTGCCACCCTAGGTAGTGGTCACAAAGACCATTAGCCCCTGAACCCTCATGGATGGGTATTGACAGAATCTTCTGTTTCTACCTCTGCTGTCCTTTCCGTCTTACCCGTTGTCCCCTTATCTGCCTCTGAACAAGAAGAACATGCACAACCCATCCAGTGGGCAGTGCATCCTCAAGTTGAGTAGCTCTGCTGGTCCTAAGTCTGCATGGGAAGCAACTTTCTGGCTTGCACTTGGCCACCTCAGAGAAAGGGAATATGCCAATCCTTTCCACGGGAGCATGGGACATCTCAGAGCTCATTAACAATTGATGCTTTGGTTACAGATCAACATTGTGTTTTTCTCTATCACAAGCTACTTCCCACCCCAACATTTTGGATCTCATAAGCTGCAAGGATCCAAACTTAGAGATCCAAATGTTAGAGATCCAACATTTGGATCTCTAAGCAACTGGCTGGGTTAAGCTTAGCATCCTGGCTGATATTTTGTTGCTATTACTTTAATGTTAATAATAGTTTCAGTCAACCAGCTGCCAATATGATAATTAGATAAAGCCTAGAAACAGGAAATAGAGAATAAAGGTCTCAACTTGGGACAGGGAAGCAGAGTGGCAGCCTTCTCTGTGAACCTACCTAGCTTGGCTGAATTTTCAGAACACAAACAAATATAAGAGCACTCTGCTATTCAAAAAAAATCTGGGGCCCATCAGCTCTCTTCTCATTTTCCAGCGAATGGTTGGCAAAAATCTTCCAAACCGTTTACTTGACAATTTGTTTAAAAGTATAGTTTTGCAGCTGGGTGATTTGTTTGCTCTTTTTTCCCCTCCAAAAATCAAGTGTTACAATCAGGGATTGCTTGTTGTGATGGAAGCCGTGCGGGCGGTTTGGATTTTGATGGGTGCCCCTATCCTGCCAGCAGGCATCTGGCTTTGGAGGCCTGCCCTGGATCCCTCTGGCTGACTGCATCTCCCCTCCCCTGGTCCAGGCTTCAGTTTACATGGCTCTGCCATCGGGAGGTGGAATGGCAAAGCATATGCAGCCGTGCTGCTCAGCCAGGTACAAATAAGTGTTGTGTTGCTGCTCATCTGGGGCTTCTGGCTGCCTAGAAAAATGAAATAAAGTGAATTTGTAACAAGCAAAGTCCTGTGAACTGTGGCCTCTTTCAATCAAAATCAGATAATTTATCCACTGAAAAGATCATGTGGACCAAAGAATCAGAGTGCCTTTGGAAGAGTAATCCACGTGGTTTTATATTAAAGAGGCAGTGGGGGGTGGTGGGGGAGAGAGAGAGAGAGAAAGTGAGTCATGTTTCTCCACAGAAACAGAAACGATAGAATATACAGCTATAGATGGATGAGGAGATCTGCTTGGGAAATGGCTCGCTCAATTATAGATGCTGAGAAGTTCCAGGACATGCCATCTGCAAGCTGGAAGCAGGTCCAGGCCCAGTCCAAGACCTAAAAACCAGAAAGAAGGGGAACCGATGTAAGTCCCAGAATTCAAAGTCCTGAGAACCAGGAGCCCTGATGTCCGAGGGCAGGAGAAGGTGGATGTTTCAGCTCCAGAAGAAAGAGAATTTACCTTTCCTCTGCCCTTTTGTTCTCTCTGTGTCCCCAACAGGTTGACCGGCGCCACCTACATTGGTAAGGGTGGACCTTCTTAGTCCACTAACTCAAAAGCTCATCTCTTCCAGAAACAGTCTCACAGACACACTTACAGATGATGTTTTCCAGTCATCTGAGCATCCTCAGCCCTGTAACGTTGACACCTATAATTAACCAGCTCAGAAAGCCAAAAGGGGGCTGGGGGCGCAGGGGCAGCATCAGCCGGTTCCTCGCCCGCTGACCAGGAGAAGGCGTGCACAGTAAGCACTCCACTCTCCCATTAAGCACCTGGCCCCAGGTGGAGCCACTGCGGACTCACCCTGTCTGGTGCACACCACTCCCTCCTGTGGATGTGCGATCCCCAGACGGAAGCCTGGAGGGCCCGCGAGCTTCCGTAGCCAGGTGGCCCCGGGCTGACTTGTCATCGGAAGCTGCCCAGCGAGGATTTGGCGGTGGCAGAGGTGAGGGACTGAGAGGCGGGGACGGACTTCAGCAGGAAGATAGAGGGGAATGTCCCCTTTTCATCAAGCTGAAGTGTGCCCAAGCAATGTCCCAGCATCTCTGTGAAAGGTTGGCTGCCTGGTGTGACTGAGTGGCCGGAGGTTTGGCCCTGGAAGGTCAAGTGTGATGGTCGATTTCTTTTTTTCCACTTTTTAACCTTTTTCTACTGTGGGGAGGTCGCCTAAGATGACTGAATTTGCCAACCCCACGGGAAGCAGGCATTTGAGTCTAACAGCGCCATCCCGCACCCCACAAAACTCTGTAGAGCAATATTTGCTCTGTGATGGGTGAAGGTGAAAAGCCACTCAGGAAACCAGAAATCTGGCACTAAAAAAAGAATGTTTTTCCTATCCAGGGCGGGTTGGGCTTCCCTTCATTACACACCAACAGATGCGCACCGAGCCCTGCGCCGTTCATTCCTGAGGGGCGGATTCCCCAGGGCACGGAGAGAAAGACTCTCGAGTCCCTGCCTGTCTGCCCATCTGTCCATCCTGGGGCGAGGATGAGCGGGTGTTTGCAGGCCCCGCGTGGGAGAGGCAGTGGGGTCAGGAGCGGCCCGCCAGAAGGGTGCCAGGGAAACCCTCAGAGGCGGAGGGGAAGGTGAGAACCCGGGGCCGTGGTGTGGCGAGCTCCTGGAGGGTTGCACGGAGAAGGAGAGAGCGGCCGGGGCCAGTGGTCCAGGGCGCTCCGGCCCGGCCCTGGCACCCGTGGGAACCTCCACGTCCTTCGCTCAGCTCCGCCGCGGCCACCGGCGGGGTCTGCGCGGGTGTGGAGACCAGGTGAGCACTTCTCTGCCGGTGCGCGGCCTGAGCCATAGGCCTCCCTCCCGGCGCGCGCTTCCCCTGCCGGGACAGCCCGCCGGAGCGCGCCCTCTGCTGGCCAGGCCACGGCCGGCTGAGGGCTGCCTCCAGGCTCCGCCCCAGGAGCTGGAGCACGCGCCCGGCTCATCGCACACCCACGTGGGATGGCCTTCTACCACCGCGGAAAGCAGTGGTTCAGCCTCTGCCTGCACACTCGCGTGACGCGGAGCTCACAAGCAGTCCAGGGCATTGCTATCAACACTGACCATTAGAAACAGCTTCCCTATGTTGAGATCTTTGTCGCCCACTCCATTTGTCCCACCTCTGCCCTCCAACTTTCCCCCGCAGAGCTTAGTTTCCCGTGACAAAATTTCAAGCATTTCAACACAGCCGCCACCTAACCCCAGTTCCTCTGCTCTGCCTGAACCTCCCTGGTCCCTCCAATCGTTATGGTATGATGTAGCGTCACCATTCAGATGACTCACGTCAGGAAACAAACAATCTACAGAGCCCCTTCTTCACTGTGGTGCCCAGAAGTACATCTGAGCCTGCAGTTAGGCTCTGTCCACTGCACAGGATGTCACCTGTGGTGTCTAACCCCTGGCCTTCGGACACACAGGCAGAGGTCATAGCAGTCCACGTGCCAGAATCTTCACACTTCTGACACGCTCCGAGTTTATGTTCAATTTTATTCATTTTCATATGTTCTACTAATTAATCCCATCCCTGAATCCAGTGTGCAAACATTTAATTCCTAACGAGTGCCAGGCAGCTGATAATATTACTGTTCAATCTAAGGGTATATCTTCACAGTTTCTGCACTAAAATTCATCCTGGCTTACCACATCCATAATTCTCACTTATGTTAATCATTTGGGATGGTGGTGTTTTTAAATATCCAATATAACTGTAATGGCTTCCAGATCCATCTAATTAGTAAGTTTGACAGGCAGCCTTTATGTCCTAGTGCTGCTAAAATACCAAAATCCTGCTTCATTTCAGGTAAGGAGGCTGCACAGCCCCTTTCCCCTTTGTGAAACACTGCTTAACCAACTATCGAGGCTTTTATGAGGAGTTCATGAGGATCTTAACCTATTGTCCTTAAGTTGATCAAAAAGCTTGCTCTGTCACCTTGTCACATGCCTTACAGAAATCCAGAGATGCCAAGTCCACCACATTTCCCTGATGAGCAGCCTAGTAATTGCACTAGTGTCCTGCTACCCTGCTGGGTGGTTTTGATGGAACGCCTGTCATTACCTCTCCTGGTCTCTAAGTCTGTTGTTCTGCTGAGCAGGGTGGACACTGAGGTCCCACGGCTGCACACAGAGGCACACTCAGCTCTCAAATTACCACTCTATGTGATCCTGACTCAGAAAGGAGCCTGGGACTCAAGCTTTGTCTCTGATGGTCCCCTGAGGAGATGGGTGCTTTGTTCCTCTCTTGTGCTTAGCTGTGCCTTGTCCCAGCAGAAGTGTCTCAAGTCATGGGGTTTCCCCATGCCCCTACAGAGGCTATTTTAGTCTAATAATACATGGCATTCTTAACAAGGGCTTCCTGATATTAATCATAAATTGTCCTGCAATGATTTCACACTATTATTCTTTCTTACAACTTTTGTTTTTAATACAGCTGAACACCCACCTCCCTCAGGCTGTGTCTGAATATGTGTGTGATGTGGTTGGTATGTAGGACAAGGATCCTATATGAGATAATGACTGTTTCAAACATGTTTTATAAGACATATTATTTACTATTATATATATTTTAAGGACAGATAAGATGTAGCCTTTTCATTGCACTGGAAACTATACTGAAGTGATGGCTGAGGCCTAGATGTGTCCTTGAGCTGGGGGAGTGGATTTGGGGAGTCCGCTCTGTCCTGCTTTCTGGCCTTGGCTTCTTAGCTTATTGAATTGCTGGGATGGGGTGATCCCAAGCATCACCCCCAACTCTTCTACAACATCTGAAGGTCTCCACTCACAATATAGACCTATGGTCTCTGGATTTGTAATTGACTTTTGTAAGAGTACTATTGCTACTAATGAGAATAGTAATTGACACTCACGGAATATGCATCTGTGACTTTGGCTTCAGCAATTTGCTTAGTTCTTATAACACACTTCTAAGACAGATGTACTACTTTATTTACTGATGAAAAACACTGAGATCTGGCATGCTCAAGCCACTTACTCAGATGAACATGCTGTTATGCAGCAGCTAGCAAACCAGGTCTGTCTGGATTTGTTACAACCAGAGGCCGCAGTGTGGAGATTCTACCTGAGAAGACATATGAAATCTAGAACTCTGCAGCCTGGTGTCCAATATGGGAGCCAGGCTGGGCACAGTGGCCCATGCCTATAATCCCAGTCCTTTGGGAGGCTGAGGCAGGTGGATCGCCTGAGGTCAGGAGTTCAAAACAAGCCTGACCAACATGGTGAAATCCTGTCTCTACTAAAAATACAAAAAATTAGCCAGGCGTGGTGGCACATGCCTATAATCCCAGCTACTCGGGATGCTGAGGCAGGAGAATTGCTTAAACCCGGGAGGTGGAGCTCTGAGCCACCTTGTACCTGCAACTCCCCCTTGTCTGGAGCCAAGTCCTTGGCCTTCATGGTTGACCCCACTCCTGACCTTCTCCTTCACTAGGCAGCCAGTGGCTGCTTCATTACAGCTCTACACTTCAACAACTCCCAAAGAACCTAAGTGTCATTAAGCAATTTTATAGCAGTCTGGGGCTGACTGGCGGTTCAGAAGCGGCCGCAGAGTTGCTTGCCATCCAGCAATTTGAAAACAGTCAAGGCCTCAGTGGGGGGTGAGGGTACTTAACACAGGGCTGAGGGCACAAGTATAATGTCTAAGGCCCAGCACAGAGTCCTGCCAAAGCCTTGGCAACAATCCCAGTGCTGTGTCTGGAGAAACTGACAAATGTTCCAGAAGTGGGAGGGGGCATGTCTCTCTCGGGGAGACTCTGCTTCAGGCTGCATTTACACAAGGGCACTCTTTGGGTTACTGTAGAAAACTAGATGACTAGAACCACAGTAAAAGCTGCCTATTGTGTGAAAACTGCATGCAGGTAGTTCTGGCATGGGAGGGTGGTTTCCTGATTGAAACAATAATAATACTGGAGGGTGTGACTACAAGGAAAGAAAGGTGATTTGTGGGAATAACTGTTCATACTGAAAGAACGAGTTCACCCTTGTGCCTAAGACAACTCAGCCTGATTAGGGAGAAGTAAGGAAGACAGGGTAAATAATAATTTTCTTCACCTACCAATGCCAGGAGCAGCTCCAGGACCAGATGAGAGAGGTCACTTAAGGAAGTGCTTCTGCTCAGGGTGGTAGGGGTGCAAGGTCAGCTCCTGAGAATGTGTGCCTCTTAAATGCTGGGCCCAGGGAGGGTGGTGTCTGCCTGGCTGTACCCTAGTCCCAGCCCTAACCAGGCATTTGTTAAGAATCTACTTACTTTAGCTTATTTGTTCCATATAAAAACATCATGGTACAGAATTACTATCCCTGTTTTATAAACAGAAGAATCTGAGGCTCAGGTTCAAAGTCACACAGTGAATAAACTCAAACACACAGCCTCACAATCCTATAATCTGCTTAAAACAATTGCAGATTTATTTTCCCAAAACAACTCTGGTGATGATGAATGCCAACACTCTAATGGTGAAAAAGAAGAAAGAAAAAAAGAAAACAACTCTGGAGGACAGATAGATTAATCTGGTCAGAGTCATGACCCAGCCACTTGCTGTTTGACTTGAGGCTGATCACTTAATTTCTCCAGGACTCAAGTTCCTTGGTTTTAAGTGAGGAGTAATAATAGGACATGTATAGGTTGGTTATGGGGCTGAAACGAGGACATGCACATAAAGCACTCAGCAAAGTGCCTGGCACAGGATACAGGCAACACTGAGTAATAGCCAATGAACAGCAAGAACCAAGAGTCACTCATTCAAGGAAATGTTTCCGTGCTCAAGTGCCTCCAGCCAGTTACTACCCTGAAAGAGCTCATAATCTGGAGGCAGGACAGAAAAAAAAATAAAGCATGAGGACTGAATAGCATGAAATGAAGCTTGTGGGAGCCAGAGAGGAAATTTCCAACAGTTGGGAGGCGACACAGAAGCTACAAAGAGGAGGTGACTTTGGAGACAAGTCTCAAAGGGCCACTCAGGCTTACAGGCAGGAAAGGTACCCCAGGGAGCTTCGTTTCAGCCTGTGACCCCTTTAGGAAGCGTGAGCCAACCTCAGGATGCCTGGAATGGAAGGAGGGAAGAAGGGATAGGAGAGCTGGGTTCTAGAAAGTGTACAGGTTCCAAACACAAATGTGTTTTGCCATAAGGTCTTGCCCAGCCCAGAAGTGTGGTCCTTTTGCACTCTGGTATAGAGAGTGCAATTCCTGCATTCCAGTGGGGAACAAACTTTCATTCGTTTCAGGACATAATCATTCTTCTCTG